CTCAGGGTCGACCAGGTAGTGCTCATCATGGACCCTCAACTTCCACGAGCCCTCTGGCTAGTGGGCAAGGTGACCCGCACCTTCCCTGGACCTGACGGACGGATAAGGACAGTTGCAGTTCAGGTTCAGGACCGAACTTATGTCAGACCGGTGGCTCGCCTAATCCCACTTCCCAAACTTGAGTATGATGACAGCTCCAATCCCACCCCTTAAATAGGGCTTACTAACATGTTCAAATGTCCAGAGTGACATTTGGGGGCTATGTATGAAAGCCCAACGATGCCACCCAGAGGTATCTTTATGTCTATAACCTTTAAGCTTGGAAAAGGCTGAACAAGTCAAGACATGCCCGGACAAGTATCAGGAGGCAGTCTATATGTATGGGTGGATAGATTGATTTGTTCATTGTGCAAGAAAATGGACTACAGCATGTTTGTTTCTTCTGTGAGTGATTGATTAAATAAACCACACACGCCCACATGCACCCCTTATGGGCAAGTGCCTGTAACAATTTAAACATGCAAGGATAATTCAAATAAAATCCTTCAATTGGGACCTGCTCTCTTTCTCACGTTTCTCTAACTGGAAACTCCCCTCACCATTTCTACTTGTACCTAACCGAACCCTTGAGCGTCCCATACGCTTGTACAGTTATGCAAACCGATTGTTGCAGCAGCTGTCCGGGTGGCTGGTCTCAGACGATCTTGGCGGAGAAGATGCTGGACTCCGCTTCGTCCACGGTGAAAACTGATCCGGCGATCCACAGCGCAAAGTTGTAGTATTTCCTCAGCGACCAGCACGGATCAGCTCCAGGCATGACGAAGCAGATATCGTCCTCTTTTGGAAGACCAAACAAAGTAGTTTCGCTTTTACAATGAAGCACACAGCGTCTTTACGACATGGTGGCGGAAACAACAAAACTACAGCGAGAATAAAAGTTACGCCTTCTTTCTTTGCGTGAACATTTGGGCGGCATTATGCAAATCTTCCCACAGAGCGACGTAGGTATGTTGGGGCGTGTTAGAACGAGCCATTTTAGGTAGGTGTGGCTGACTCTTAACTTTTATAAAGAATATCTCTTTGGATTTGAGACTTTAGTCTTTGCAACTTTACAGATCTTCTTTATGCACCAAGAGCTTGTAACAAGAAAAAGGAAAGGAAAAATTGAAATCGCATCATATGAGGTTAATCGTATTCGGCCGGATATTGTGCCTGTAGGGAATGTTCCCTATATATATATATATATAATTATTTTCAGACACCAGTTGCTTGTCACATTCAAAATGGTCGACACTAATTTGTGGAGATTCAGTGCATTGAATTCCACAAATCTGAATGCATTATTTGTAAATTGACTGTTAAGATAAACATTTTGCACAATTTAGTATCTGTAATATCATTGTGTTGCCACTAGATGCCTGTATAGCCCTATGTAACAATCCCTAGT